ATAACAAATGCAGTATTTCCACAGGACTAATATGTTGTGAGGAAAGAGAGAGAAGTGAGAGGAGGAGAAGGAGCAGCTTTGCTGATAAAAAAAAGGTTGAAGTTTTTATGAGATGGTTATTCAGGCCTGTGAGGATTTCAGTGACTACACATCAGGTACCATAACAATTGGAGGACAAAAAATTATAGTAGTAGTCATATATAACCCCCCACCAAATGACAGAAGACCCAGACAGGAATATGACAGAAACAACATGGCCACCATCAATATAATAGAGAGAGCAGCTTCTGTAGCTCGCCGCAACAGATCCATACTACTAATTATGGGGAACTTCAACCACAGGAAGACAGATTGGGAGAACAGAGACCCACATGGAGGAACAGATACATGGAGAGCTAAGCTGCTGGACGTGTCAACAAGAAACTTTCTAACACATCAAGGGACTGACAAGAATGAGAGGAGAGGATGAACCAACTATGATCTGATATTTACCCTAAATGAGTCGGATATAAGGGAAGTTGGAATCCCCCCTTGGGAATGAGTCATCAGTGTATTGATCTTTTGAGTACCTGGTTCAGCTTGGAATTATCTCCCTCCAAAAAAGAACTGGGAAACAAAGGCTGGCGTACTGAAAGGGAAATTATGAAGAGATGAATAAATTCCTAAGGGATATACCATTGAACACAGAACTCAGAACCAAGTCCGTTCAAGACATGATGGACTATGTCACCGAAAAGTGTCAGGAAGCGGTGAACAGGTTTATCCCGGCCCGACAGGAAAAAAACGAGAAGCAAAAAAAGAATCTGTGGTTTAATAGGGCATGTATGAAAGCAAAGGAACTGAACAAAAGGGTGTGGAAAAACTTCCATAATAACAGAACACCAGAAAGCAGAGAGAGATACCAGAGAACCAGGAACGAGTATGTTAGTGTGAGAAGAGCAGCTGAGAAAAAGTATGAAAATGATATAGTTAATAAAGCCATGACCGAACCAAAGCTACTACACAGTCACATCAGGAGGAAGACAACAGCGAAGGAACAGGTGATGAAACTTAAACCGGATGAGGACAGGTACACAGAGAATGACAAACAGGTGTGAGAAGAACTCAACAAGAGGTTCCAGGAGGTTTTCACAATAGAACAAAGAGAGGTCACTGCGCTAGGAGAGGTGGCAGTAAACCAGGTGGCCTAGGAAGGGTTCGAAATTACAAGAGATGAGGTCAAGAGGCACCTGTTGGAGCTGGACATGAGAATGGCTGTTAGCCCCGTGTTACGGACCCGAGTCCAGCATCGTAGCACGGAGCAGTGACGGCAACACTATCTGTGAGTCCGCTTCCGAAACACCCTCCAAATGGACGACGCCATCTAGTGAGGACGGGATATACAGGCCACAGGGGCTGGATTCCAGTCTTAATCAGCTCGTAACGTAGCCGCTGCTGACCTCTGGTGAGGTGGTGCTTAGACAACAACGCCATCTATGGAGTGGATAAGTGGACGTTTGTGTCTAAGCCTGTAAGTGAGGTTCCCTAGCCCCAGTACTAATGACGTGTCTGATTACAGAGTCGACCTGGGACTGCTGTAATGGACGATGGATCAGTCTACCCAGGGCAGCCAAGGTCTCTCCACGAGTTTGCTGAAGAAGCTGTGAGTCACCCCTGGACGAACACTGTTGAGAGTATTAGCCTGCCTATGACGTGGCAGTATCAGGAATCGCCTTATCCGGGGCTGGCTGGTGGAAGAGACTAGCCACTGTGGTGCTGAGAGAGGAGAGTGATCAGCGGAATCACACGAGGCTCCTGCATAGGGCTCGCAACCCTAGTATCGGCCGTGGAGTGGCCTACACAGCGGAGCTGATGGGAACCTGCCAGCTACAGGCTGGATTGTGGTTGAAGGCCTCCACGACGGAGCACCCAGTGGGACTGTGATTTGGCTGGCCTGTGGCCAGGATAGATTCGCCGAGAGAATCCAAGAGGATTCATAGTGGGCCGAAGAAGAGAACCAGGGCTACTCAAAGTGCGCACTGTGGAGCATCCTGTGTCTTCAGAGGAAGACAACTCTGTACATTAAAGTGTGTTTATAAACCCGCGTGACTGTTTATATATTTATTTATGGTGGTGGTTAATAAATATATATATATATAAATCAGAGCGTTTGTATCCCTTCCCCTTTAATTTAACTTGCGTTACGGAACACATCCCTTGAAAGCCTCTACTAGCTTGGGGCCGGATTCCCAAATTCTAATAACACCAGAAAAGAACCCGGTTACGCCCCAGTAGGGCCGTAACACCCGGACAGAATCTCACCATGGGTATTGAAAGAGTGTGCAGGAGAACTTTGCTTGCCACTCTCCATAGCGTATAGTAGGTCACTGGAGACGGGAGACCTACCCGAAATATGGAAGACCTATAGACCTAATGTAGTCCCAATATACAAAAAGGGTGACAGACAAGAGGCACTGAATTACACTACAGGCCAGTGTTCTTAACTTGTATATCATGCAAGGTGATGGAGATGATTGTGAGAAAAAACTAATAACACATCTGGAGAGAAGAAACTTCGTGACAACCCATCAACATGGGGTCATGGAGGGTAAATCTTGCCTTACAGGCATAATAGAATTCTACGATCAGGTGACAAAGATTAAGCATGGAAGAAAGGGATGGGCGGACTGCATTTTTATGGTCTGTCGGAAAGCCTTTGACACAGTACCCAATAAAAGGCTGATGCATAAGTTAGAGAAACAGGCAGGAGTAACTGGTAGGGCGCTCCAGTGGATAAAGGAGTACCTAAGCAATAGGAAGCAGAGAGAGATACAGTGAGGGGGGTGAGACCTCTGATTGGTGTGAAGTCACCAGTGGGGTCCCACAGGGCTCTGTACTCGGACCTATCCCGTTTCTGATATAAGTAAATGATCTCCCAGATGGTACAGACTCATTCCTCTCAATGTTTGCTGACGACGCCAAAATTATGAGAAGGATTAAGACAGAGGAGGACAGCTTGAGGCTTCAAGAAGACCTGGACAAGCTGCCAGAATGGTCGAACAAATGGTTGTTAGAGTTTAACCCAAGCAAATGTAATATAATTAAGATAGGTGAAGGGAGCAGAAGACCAGATACAAGGTATCATTTGGGAAATGAAATACTTCAAGAGTCAGAGAGAGAGAAAAAGACCTGGGGGTTGATATCACGCCAGACCTGTCCCCCTGAAGCTTAAATCAAGAGGATAACATCAGCGGCATTTGCCAGGTTGGCTAACATAAGAACGGCCTTTAGAAACTTGTGCAAGGAATCTTTCAGAACATTGTACACCACATATGTCAGACCAATCCTGGAGTATGCGGCTTTAGCATGGAGTCCATATCTAGTCAAGCATAGGACTAAACTGGAAATGGTTCAAAGGTTTGCCACCAGACTAGTACCCGAGCTGAGGGGTATGAGCTACGAGGAGAGACTACGGGAATTAAACCTCACGTCACTGGGAGACAGAAGAGTTAGAGGAAGACATGATCACCACATACAAGATTCTCAGAGGAATTGATAGGGTAGATAAAGACAGACTATTTAACACAAGGGGCACACACACTAGGGGACACAGGTGGAAACTGAGTGCCTAAATGAGCCATAGAGACTTTAGAAAGAACTCTTTCAGTGTCTGAGTATTAGACAAATGGAAAGCATTGGGAAGTGATATGGTGGAGGCTGACTCCATACACAGTTTCATGTGTAGATATGATAGAGCCCAATAGGATTAGGAACCTGTATTCCAGTTGATTGACAGTTGAGAGGCGGGACCAAAGAGCTAGAGCTCAATCACCGCAAGCACAAATAGGTGAGTACTACTCACTCCCAATCTCCCACTACTCACACACTCAGCATCTCCCACTACTCACACATTCACCATCTCTCACTAACACACTCACCATCTCTACTCACACACTCACCATCTCCCACTACTCACACACTCACCATCTCCCACTACTCACACACTCACCATCTCCCACTACTCACACACTCACCATCTCTCAATACTCACACACTCACCATCTCCCACTACTCACACACTCACCATCTCCCACTACTCACACACTCACCATGTCCCACTACTCACACACTCACCATCTCCCACTACTCACACACTCACCATCTCCCACTACTCACACACTCACCATCTCCCACTACTCACACACTCACCATCTCCCACACTCACCGTCTCCCACTACTCACACACTCACCATCTCCCACTACTCACACACTCGCCATCTCCCACTACTCACACACTCACCATCTCCCACTACTCACACACTCACCATCTCCCACTACTCACACACTCACCATCTCCCACACTCACCGTCTCCCACTACTCACACACTCACCATCTCCCACTACTCACACACTCACCATCTCCCACTACTCACACACTCACCATCTCCCACTACTCACACACTCACCATCTACCACTACTCACACACTCACCATCTCCATCAAAATACTCCATCTCAGCATCACCCACGTATACCCTCGCCGTATTCCCCATTCACCTTCACCATCTTCCTCATCACTGTAACTTTTTTTCCTGATTTCTGCCACCATCACTGCATCTAAGTTTCCTATACACTCCATGTGCCTCTGAATCCAAAAGGATGTACCCAAAATGCAATCTGTTAACTGAACACCTTCCCTATATGTCAAAATCTAAATACACTAATATTTACAACCCGTCCTCCTAATAGAACGCCGCATTTTGACGTATATTCAAAAGTAATAAATTATTGTGCTGAAAAATGGTAGCGGCTCGCGAAATTGACAAACTGTCCCGTTTTCTATTTTTGGGTATTCTGGTAGGTTAGCATAGGGGTACTTTAGCACGACAGTTTCTTGACGCTGGGAAATCTTAAGAGGACTGGATGAATATTTATATAAATGCTAAGATCTATAGAGTGGGAAATAATACTTAACATCCTGCGACGTTGTGGAGGCGAGAATAGAGGCTGAACTCCGGAGGCATGAGGAACTACCCGGGAGGCATGAGGAACTACCCCGGAGGCATGAGGAACTACCCAGGAGGCAAGAGAAACTACCCCGGAGGCATGAGAAACTACCCAGGAGGCATGAGGAACTACCCCGGAGGCATGAGAAACTACCCTGGAGGCATGAGAAACTACCCCGGAGGCATGAGGAACTACCCCGGAGGCATGAGGAACTACCCCGGAGGCATGAGGAACTACCCCGGAGGCATGAGGAACTATCCCGGAGGCAAGAGAAACTACCCAGGAGGCAAGAGAAACTACCCAGGAGGCAAGAGAAACTACCCAGGAGGCAAGAGAAACTACCCCGGAGGCAAGAGAAACTACCCCGGAGGCAAGAGAAACTACCCCGGAGGCATGAGAAACTACCCCGGAGGCATGAGAAACTACCCAGGAGGCATGAGAAACTACCCAGGAAGCAAGAGAAACTACCCCGGAGGCAAGAGAAACTACCCCGGAGGCATGAGAAACTACCCAGGAGGCAAGAGAAACTACCCAGGAGGCAAGAGAAACTACCCAGGAGGCAAGAGAAACTATCCCAGAGGCATGAGAAACTACCCCGGAGGCATGAGAAACTACCCCGGAGGCAAGAGAAACTACCCCGGAGGCATGAGAAACTACCCCGGAGGCAAGAGAAACTACCCCGGAGGCATGAGAAACTACCCCGGAGGCATGAGAAACTACCCCGGAGGCAAGAGAAACTACCCCAGAGGCATGAGAAACTATCCCAGAGGCAAGAGAAACTATCCCAGAGGCAAGAGAAACTACCCCGGAGGCAAGAGAAACTACCCCGGAGGCAAGAGAAACTACCCCGGAGGCAAGAGAAACTACCCCGGAGGCAAGAGAAACTACCCCGGAGGCAAGAGAAACTACCCCGGAGGCATGAGAAACTACCCCAGAGGCATGAGAAACTATCCCAGAGGCAAGAGAAACTACCCCAGAGGCATGAGAAACTATCCCAGAGGCAAGAGAAACTACCCCGGAGGCAAGAGAAACTACCCCGGAGGCAAGAGAAACTACCCCGGAGGCATGAGAAACTACCCCAGAGGCATGAGAAACTATCCCAGAGGCAAGAGAAACTACCCCAGAGGCATGAGAAACTATCCCAGAGGCAAGAGAAACTACCCCGGAGGCAAGAGAAACTACCCCGGAGGCAAGAGAAACTACCCCGGAGGCATGAGAAACTATCCCAGAGGCAAGAGAAACTACCCCGGAGGCAAGAGAAACTACCCCGGAGGCATGAGAAACTACCCCGGAGGCAAGAGAAACTACCCCGGAGGCATGAGAAAATACCCCGGAGGCAAGAGAAACTACCCCGGAGGCAAGAGAAACTATCCCAGAGGCAAGAGAAACTACCCCAGAGGCAAGAGAAACTACCCCGGAGGCATGAGAAACTATCCCAGAGGCATGAGAAACTACCCCGGAGGCAGGAGAAACTACCCCGGAGGCAAGAGAAACTACCCCGGAGGCAAGAGAAACTACCCCGGAGGCATGAGAAACTACCCAGGAGGCAAGAGAAACTACCCCGGAGGCAAGAGAAACTACCCCGGAGGCAAGAGAAACGTTCCCAGAGGCAAGAGAAACTACCCCGGAGGCAAGAGAAACTATCCCAGAGGCAAGAGAAACTATCCCAGAGGCATGAAAAACTACCCCGGAGGCAAGAGAAACTATCCCAGAGGCAAGAGAAACTACCCCGGAGGCAAGAGAAACTACCCCGGAGGCAAGAGAAACTACCCCGGAGGCATGAGAAACTACCCCGGAGGCAAGAGAAACTATCCCAGAGGCAAGAGAAACTACCCCGGAGGCAAGAGAAACTACCCCGGAGGCAAGAGAAACTACCCCGGAGGCATGAGAAACTACCCAGGAGGCAAGAGAAACTACCCCGGAGGCAAGAGAAACTACCCCGGAGGCATGAGAAACTATCCCAGAGGCAAGAGAAACTACCCCGGAGGCAAGAGAAACTACCCCGGAGGCATGAGAAACTATCCCAGAGGCAAGAGAAACTACCCCGGAGGCATGAGAAACTACCCAGGAGGCAAGAGAAACTACCCCGGAGGCAAGAGAAACTACCCCAGAGGCATGAGAAACTATCCCAGAGGCAAGAGAAACTACCCCGGAGGCAAGAGAAACTACCCCGGAGGCATGAGAAACTATCCCAGAGGCAAGAGAAACTATCCCAGAGGCAAGAGAAACTACCCCGGAGGCATGAGAAACTACCCAGGAGGCAAGAGAAACTACCCCGGAGGCATGAGAAACTACCCCGGAGGCATGAGAAACTATCCCAGAGGCAAGAGAAACTACCCCGGAGGCAAGAGAAACTACCCCGGAGGCATGAGAAACTATCCCAGAGGCAAGAGAAACTACCCCGGAGGCAAGAGAAACTACCCCGGAGGCATGAGAAACTATCCCAGAGGCAAGAGAAACTACCCCGGAGGCATGAGAAACTATCCCAGAGGCAAGAGAAACTATCCCAGAGGCAAGAGAAACTACCCCGGAGGCAAGAGAAACTATCCCAGAGGCAAGAGAAACTACCCCGGAGGCATGAGAAACTACCCAGGAGGCATGAGAAACCACCCCGACTAAGCTGTGACTCCATAATATCTCCACAATATCACATTATCAATGTTTGTCCTTCATACAAACACTATTTTACAGATTAAAGATAATTCCTCTAACCTATGTTCATAACTGTTATTGTTCTCTTCTGGAAACAGCTTAGTAGCATGCCATTGCGACTCCGTATCATTGCTGCATATTCTCTTTTCAGATATATGAATAATGAAAATGATGTCTTTATTGTTTCTCAGTCATTAAGATGAGAATCGTTATTTCACATATAAATGTTTTTTCTTCCATTATTTTATCTAAATGTCTTATTTTACGAATAAATGTAAAATTTTAGAGTTATTAATTTTTTCTATTTCTGTTCATATAAATATTATTTTAATATTTTATTATTGTTGAAAAATTTTCTTAATATAAAAGCAGTTGAAAAGAAATAAGTAACAAAATATTAATACGTCTTTGGTGGGGTTGAATATCTTCAATTTATGAAGATATATTGAATATCTTGAATATAGAAATATGGGATTATTGTCCCCTAGTGCTTCAGCTCACTCTCAGTATCATATTAGGCTCCTCCAACCAAATTATATTCACCTGAACTCTCCCACTGAAAATGTTGACAAGGTCAACAAAACAGCGACTGGCCATAATAAAGCAGGAAAATGATCTGTTGAAAATTAATTTTTCGTGCTAGAATAACTGATCTCACTCATTCTGTCGTATTCAATAACACAGTTTGCAAATAATACCGCTATGAATCAAATCAGCACATTATCAACAGTATAAACACTGCAGTATAATGTATAAATATATAGGCAGGACAATGGACAATGACGTGAGGAGGAAAACAATGTCTTTATATTTATGGTTCATGAAAATAAGTGAGTGGAAACTTCAGATGGCCTGATGGCCAATTCACGAGGTTAGTAGAATTAATATCCCTGTGGGAATAGATGTCTATTAATCATCTTACTAAGATCATTTTTCAACTGATCACTTAAAATTGGATCCAAGGTGTACAAACATTTACTAGTATTTATGTTATTTGGCTTAGTAACTTATATAGCAGATACAATATTATTAATATTAAAGTTGTTGTGTAAAGTCTCTCCAAATCCACCTGGAGAGAATGTTTGTAAAAATAAATATATATTGAGCATTTTATATATAAAGCAAAATTCGAAATTTCAAATCTTTAGATATTTGACCAATATAGTATGTATGAGAATGATGGTATTTTGTAAATGACACGTTTATGAGTATGACGAATGTTTCAAACTACTAATTTTACAATGGTATTTTCAAATTTAACACCACATGTAAATCAAGTAGTATCAAAACTTAGTAACATCTCAAGTAAAGATGTTAGAAAGTTTGCTGTTAGCTTGCAAGTAATGGGAAAATGGAATGAACTAAAAGAGCTGGCTATGAAAATTAATTCCGTTCATAACTGACAACTAGAAATGATTACACACACACACACTACCCACTTTCCCTATAAACCACCCTTAACTCCCACCCCATGAATACCAGCCTGCTCCCATACTCTCCCACTTCCCTCATACAATAATCACCAGAAACCATCATCACCACACTGCAGTGTTAACTCCATCCATCACCTCCATTCTCCAAAAACCCTCTTCTTCTCTCTTACCCCTCCCCCCAATTTCGTCCAGGCAAATGGCTATAAAAAAAATCAAAACCTACGGTTTTCACTCTCCCTGATTTTATGTCAGACAGCATGGAAATCGTAGTGGGGGGGCTCCAACGATGCCAATATTTCTTAAAGCATGGCACGTGGGCCAACCCCAACTAGCTTTGACACATCCTCAACACGCATCATCTACGAAAGTTGTGTAAGGCTAGTGGGAGGATAGACTCCTAGCCTCTGGCCTACAACTTGGGACAGACAAAAATAGAATTTCTATTCCATAGATAGAAATAATGCTGTACTCTCCCTGTCAGCAATCCAGGACATGAGTGTTGCATTTTTATATAACGGAAACTTGTGATAAATGAACAGAAGTTTTTCGGGAGAGTGAGAGAGAAATGGTCCTGTGGACCTCAAATTGAAAAAGTCTTTTGTGGACTTAACTCTGTGAAGTTTTGGTGAGACTCGGGAGAAAATAATGAAGAGGTGACTCAAACTGAAGACTTTTCCTGAAACTTCTGCTTACTTTTATTGGTTATATTTTCAGTTTATTTGCAACATTTGTAAGAGACAAAGACTTGAGAGTATATATTCTAATTATGTTCCACCCAGTGGGAGTTTATATATCGTCAAGTTTTCGGTTTAATAACAACAACCAATTGTCGCTAACTCTGGAGCGGACGATGAACTCTTAACCGCAGAATGATTATTAAGGACACTACAATACCTTAACTAGCGGGTTCGCTACTAATGTAATCTCAGTGAATATTTACCAACAAGCAGAGAGGCCCCACTCTGTGAACATACAGCCCATCCTCGTCAACAAGGGCCAAATGCTCGTTAATCCAGTCACCGAACTCCCTGTTTATGAATTGAAAAACACATTACACAGGACTCTCAATTGTTGACGCGTGTATTTTTCTCGAGCAGTCCTTCGTTCACGACGGTTGCTCGAATGGCACCTCTAAGGGTTTCATTCAAGTACTGTAAATACCAGTAATGACCTACAGAGCCTTACCATCTAATCTAAACTAAATTATTCCTAACTATTCATCACATTCTAGTATGAAATAATATTTTGTTAAATTTGAGAAAACCCAAATTATAAACAAGCAGCAGATTTAATTTGATGAATGTGTCCTAAAGGGTAGGCCGCCGCCTGGACGAGCCCAGCCTGAGGTCAGTGTAAGAATATGCATCCGGCTATGGAGCTGTACTGTTACTGTCTAAGTTACTTAGCCCCACGTTAGTAAGCCAGAGGTGAGATTTTCCTTTCATAAACACTCAGTTGACCTTGAGCGTCAGATGTATAATGACCAATTCTACCACACAGCCTAGCACCACGCTGGGCGCCAGAATCTGAAATATTACTGGTTAAATACACAAAGATGGCGGGAGCAAAACCCTAAGGATCCAATACTTGAGGTGATGGATGAGGGCCAAGACGGTCTTGACTCTCCATCAGCCATACCAGAGCCTCCTCACTTGGGTCGTTCACTCTGCAACTCGCTTGCAGCGAATCCAGCAGGTAGTGGGTGGGTTCTCACGCCAAATTATAATTTGATGATTGGGGGGTTAGAGGCTGGATCCCGACCCATCTCAAGTTTGTATCAAATTACCAAGATGAATACGGGGGCAGTACTGCAGAATGAGGAGTGACATTTAAAGACACATGTATGAAAATAAATGCATTAATTCAACAAAACTTACATTCTAATACACGGCCTCCCACGTTACGTTAATTCAAGAGTGTCACTTCAGTAACTGACAGAACACCACTTAGCAGTATTCTCCCGACCCACCACTCTGACAGGTGTAAGAGCCTCAACGTCTCGACCCACTGGTCAGGCCAACAACAACAGTGAACTAACCTGAAACACTTCGTGCACACTATTCACTTGCAAATATCAAAACACTTGACCAATACAATACATTAACACACGTTAATGAATACACATCGAATGTCACTAAGACAATCACCACAATGCACAACAACATAACTAATTACTTTAGCAAATGTCACTAAGACATTAAGCAACAACAAACAATTACTTAACAACCAATATCACAGACATTGAATTTTAATAAATCAAATTAATTATTCAATTTACATTAATTAACTAGTAACACTTAATTACTTTAATGATCTACTATCACACAGACAGCAATCAAAGCTAATTAATTACGTTAATCACTGTCACCAGACAATTAGTAAACCAACCAATAACTCATTTAATCACACTGTCACATAGACATCAGATAAATACAATTATCACTTTACTAATTACGTTAATGACTTTAATAATTACGTTAATGACTACTAATTAAGTGAATGACATTACTAATTACGTGAATGACTTTTCACTAATTAATCAGACAATTAACTCTCGCTTATCACTCAAGACAAGCGACTAACAAGGGTGTTACTCTACACCACAACACAATACACAACAATACACCCGAATGAGAATAAAACAATATTTGCGTGCCACCCAGACAACCTCTAACACTCCACGTAACGTGCCACCCAGACAACCTCTAACACTCCACGTAACGTGCCACCCAGACAACCTCTAACACTCCACATAACGTGCCACTAAGACAACCTCTAACACTCCATATAACGTGCCACCCAGACAACCTCTAACACTCCACGTAACGTGCCACCCAGACAACCTCTAACACTCCACGTAACGTGCCACCCAGACAACCTCTAACACTCCACGTAACGTGCCACTAAGACAACCTCTAACACTCCACGTAACGTGCCACCCAGACAACCTCTAACACTCCACGTAACGTGCCACCCAGACAACCTCTAACACTCCACATAACGTGCCACTAAGACAACCTCTAACACTCCACATAACGTGCCACTAAGACAACCTCTAACACTCCACATAACGTGCCACTAAGACAACCTCTAACACTCCACATAACGTGCCACTAAGACAACCTCTAACACTCCACATAACGTGCCACTAAGACAACCTCTAACACTCCACAAGACAACCTCTAACACTCCACGTAACGTGCCACTAAGACAACCTCTAACACTCCACGTAACGTGCCACCCAGACAACCTCTAACACTCCACGTAACGTGCCACCCAGACAACCTCTAACACTCCACGTAACGTGCCACCCAGACAACCTCTAACACTCCACATAACGTGCCACCCAGACAACCTCTAACACTCCACGTAACGTGCCACCCAGACAACCTCTAACACTCCACGTAACGTGCCACCCAGACAACCTCTAACACTCCACATAACGTGCCACCCAGACAACCTCTAACACTCCACATAACGTGCCACCCAGACAACCTCTAACACTCCACATAACGTGCCACCCAGACAACCTCAACACTCCACATAACGTGCCACTAAGATAACCTCTAACACTCCACATAACGTGCCACTAAGATAACCTCTAACACTCCACATAACGTGCCACTAAGACAACCTCTAACACTCCACGTAACGTGCCACTAAGACAACCTCTAACACTCCACGTAACGTGCCACTAAGACAACCTCTAACACTCCACGTAACGTGCCACTAAGACAACCTCTAACACTCCACATAACGTGCCACTAAGACAACCTCTAACACTCCACATAACGTGCCACCCAGACAACCTCTAACACTCCACATAACGTGCCACTAAGACAACCGTAGTAAGCACATTCTCAACCTTGTCTGCAAACAAATGTTAACTACCCTAACTCAACAGTGTTTATATTATAATTGTTCACACACACAAAGGGACTCTTAACTGATAGATTAACACATCCACAATCTCTGGACTCTACCACAGAGAACTCGTTGCGAGATAACTCTCATGATCCGAGATTGAGTGATTACTGATTTCCAAATTAATGTGCGCAATGCAATTTAATTAATACCGGGAATTTTTACTTACATTCAATTCACAAACCTGTCACGCTCCATTCAATTCACACACCTGTCACGCTTCATTAAGTCACACACCTGTTACGGTTTATTTAAGTCACACACCTGTCACGCTCTTACACAGCTGTCATAGGTGAAGATCGATGTGTCAGTTAGACTGTAGGAATTAAGCGATGGAAACTGGCATTGGATACTTCAATGCTAGATAACGTTCCACCTCAAACCATCAAATGACCGATGATAATACTTCGTGTTCGGTGATACAATACGCGAGCTGATCGATGACACAGACACGACCATAAGAGCTCTAGTGTGAGTTGCAACAATCACTCAACAGTCTCTATACTGAGGTACAAAAACCCTCACACTCCACAAGTAGTTGTTTACCCACACAAACCCAGTTTTCTGTTGGTGAGAGTCGAGACACACTGCTTTCCCACCTCCCACACTCCCGTTTTCTGTTTCCCCAGCGCCCGAGGATACTCCCACTGCAACGCATTCTCCAATTAGACAGTACACATGATTGTGCCACTGATGATTGGACAATCACTTCATTAATTAGACTCACACACTTAACACTGAGTATTACCGCTTTCATCCACAATATAAGCTCACGCGATACAGTTTTTTCCTCCAGCTGTTTACTCAACAATATATTTCTGAATGTTGCAGCGGGCTTCTTACTTAGCTATCTTAACACTGCTAGTCTATGAGGACGACATACCTGGCCCTAGTGTCTCCGGAACCGTCGTTAAATCCTACTTCCAGTACTAAATAAATCCAGCTACTTCATGGAAGTTTATAATGGATGCGGTACTTGGCTTGTTTCGCGGCTGCAGAAAGCATTCTCGGTGGCGTATTGGTAAGACACTCGCCTGGTGTTTCGCGAGCGCTTTGTCCTGAGGTCGTATCCTGGCCGGGGGAGGATTTACTGGACGCCAATCATTAACTGTAGCCTCTGTTTACCCAGCAGTAAAATGGATACCTGGTTGTTAAACAATTTAGCGGGTCGTATTCCAGGGAAAATTAGGGTAAACGCCTTGCCCGAAACGCTATGCCTGCTAGTGGCTGTACAAGAATGTAGGAACACTTGTATATATAAATAAATAAATAAATAAATAAAAATACTGTGCCACCAGTTGTAAGTAAAACCAGTTTTCCCTGAGCTCTGGGGAGTAACGTGGTTCACCTTTCGAATCTGTGGCCCGAATGAATACTCTGGGCGCCACATGGGTTCTCAAAGATGCTGTGACGTCATCGCTTCTTGGTCTATCAGAAGGCCTGAGGCGTTTCCGCGCTTTCATACTGAGCTCCCATTGGTTTAGACACCTGTTCTCCCTCGTGGCAGTGGCATGAGCCTTAGTGTGCCAGCGTCCTGACAGATGTCTATACTGTCACTGAGGGGGATGGGGGAGTTTGTGGTTAGGACTTCCAACGGTATTGGGAGGGAAAATCCTCTTTCACACCCTCCCGGCACACACTGTAGCTAGTTTTTCCCCAGGGGATGGGCAGCCTGCCTCCCCTGGTAATACAAGTCTGTATCCACCACTGTATTACATCCAGAGGTCTTGGGTCATATCTAATGACATCTTGAGATTCCCCGCGATGACTCGAATCCATTGACACCCATCTTGACAAACTTCGCATACCAACTAACGAAGTTAAATATTTCAATCACCATTGCAAGCAATACAAGCAAGGAGTTAGGGCACTGAGAGAACACTCACAATCAGGGTGGCACATAGCCATAGGTATGAGTTAAACTGCTCAGGGACAAACAACATTAACAGGAAGGTCAAACACACTGTTATTATCCCAGTGTGTTGACTGACAATGATAATTATCATTATGATAATGGGCTGACATTATCTCAGACTCTGATCATCATAACTTTGGAGTTCTCAACACAGTTTGACTAGGAACTACGGCACCAATAGAACCCTCATCAAATCCTGCTAGTTTAGCACGATCTCAGGTCTTAGTTTTAATTTGATCCTCGAGTTCATGAACAACAATGAATGGGACTGACGGACCACTGAGGGTTACAGACATTCAGGTGATGTATAATCATAGTCCACCTCGTTATTACGATTTGACAAACGTCAAAATTAAAGTGGATTAACTTAACTAGAAGATTTAGGACTCGACCAGCCATCTAACCCATTGTAGCCAAGCATAGAGCAAAGGAGCATCAATATTGCCGTACACTTAACTTTATCAGAGTATCGGAATTTTGACGTTGTGATCAATAGCACCGAAATTACACATACCACACATGAAGTGAGAGGACAGAGTGACCAGCACACAATACTGACCAGACCTTGACCTGGTGCTTTCCTCGGTGTGATTCTCTTGTTGAGTCGTTCATCACATTTTAGTTTACGGGACTCTCACACCTACAGAGCCTCATCGTAAGACCCACTCGGACCCCCAGGTTTCCAGAGGTCTTCAAGTTTCAGAGGTCGTCAAGTTCTCCAGTGAACTTCATAATATTAAACTTTCAGTCCATCTTCAAAATGTTTCGGTTCCCAAACACTACAAACATCACTCATCCTGATGGTGAATGAGGAATAAATAATAATAATTAACTTTACATCATTAATAACAAATATTTCTATATGCAGACGAGGAGTCACAATAACGTGGCTGAAAAGTGTTGGCCAAACCACACACTAGAAAGTGAAGAGACGACGATGTTTCGGCCTCGTCACTTTCTAGTGTGTGGTTTGGTCAAACTTTTCTAATTTAAAATTTTTTGTTAATTGTTCCATTTGTTTTGTAATACAATAACAGGAAACGTTATACGACAATCACTAAACAACACAAAGCTAGGTAACGATCAAGGGGTGTACACCAAGAAGTGTATTTTGCTTCTTGGTGTTTAAACAAGTTAGTCATTAACATCTTGTGGTGATATTAATAACTCTCCCAAGGTTGGTGGGCTTAAGGCCACCATAAAAAGAGCTAGATAACACATTGAAATTATAGAGGAACATTATATTTATAATGCAAATAATACACAGAAATACTAACTCCCCATAGATTGACTCCCATTTTGACATACTTCGGATACCAACTACCAAAGTTAAACATTACAAGCACGGTTGCGAGCACCACTGCAAACAATGCAAGCAATGAGGACAGCATAACCTGAGTCATCCTCACCTATATCAGAGAAGAATTTAATACTTTAATTCAGCACTAATTTTGGATAATATTAAAAAGAAAACCTATATATTTCAAAGTTCTAAAAGTGACAGATATTATTTAGCATAGGAGGTCAGGCCAAAATAGTTAATTTATAAATATTACCTTTCCATATTTGTGTTTAAATAACATCAGTTAGCTATATTTAAAAAATCATAAGTATTAGTTCAAGTATGTTTATTGAGACAAAATAGAAATACATCTCAAAAGGATAGAGTAGCTTAGGCAATTTCTACCCACTAAGGGTATTAGTTTAGCTTTACTGTGTTGGTTCAATTAATTACCGAGTATATTTTAATTGTTGCGGCTGGACTGTGAAACGGCAACCAGAGTATTTAAAGTTACTAAAAATTAATAGTTCTTCTTACGTTGCTAAATACGTATTCCTGTAGCAAAGAAAAAAAATGGACATACAGATAATGGCAAGTTGTTTTTAATTTTAACGTTACTTCTTAATAGTTTTTGGACCGAGGACATATTCTTGTAGAATGTATATTGAGAGAGTGTTATGGTGGTGAGGATGGATCAGGACTACTGTGTACTTGTGGGTTGGTCAGCCAGCAGGGCCGGGTCGCCTCCACACATACATGTATGTTACTATTCCAAAAGTAAGGCCAATAGATATGTTTTCGTTTTTTAAATGTAATTTATTTATTTACACATTCATCATTCATCATTTTATTACTTCATATGAATAGAGATTTTTTGTATATGAGGTGGTTTAGACAGATGTTAAGGGTCATGTTTGCTGTTGGAGAGTCATTTACATTTTTACCGAATCTCTCGTGCACTGGTTAGCTTGCTGGACGCTGTTCACCGCGTCGCTTACGCAGCATTATGAGGCCTCTTGTCTCCCTCCTAAGTAGATGATTTCGTTCCTATTTGCAAAGGTAAATATATCTAAGGCAAGACTAAGTGGTGTTCAACCTGACTCTGATGTCACTTCCCTCGTTTGATAACATCACCAGGGGACGAAAAGACATAATAACATGCCTTGAAAACCTTGTTAGTTTCAAGATGAAACACCAAAACATGAAGCTCAAGGTTGTGATGCTATACCGTGAACTATAATGTCTGTGAGCAGCTGACCAGACATACAACGGAAGTAAGAAACAGCTTCACATTCTCGACGCTGGGCGGAAGCCCTAAACTCGTTATCTGTTGAAGCTGCATCATCCTGAGATTTATACATAACACAGTGACGATTTATAAACCACCGTTAAACAGCCGAGGGAGAAGCATGATCGCCTTGTTAATATGGTGACAGGACAGTGTCAATCATGCATGTAAGATTATGTGATTTTACGAAGGACTGTTAAGTAACAACATCAGAGCTGAAAGGAAATACGCCATTGTAATCTAGGCGATTATTATATGATCTTTAGGGCAAATGGGGGACCTTTGACAAGCCGCTGGCTTTCTATCTTCGTCGAGGCCACTAGTATTAGTGACTCTGCTGTAAATTCAGGTAAGTTAAATTATTCCACTAGCTGACTAGCTCCTCACCTTAGCTCAGTAAATTTCTTGTTTACGTAATCTGTGTGCGGAGACGCCCCCGATCACTCTGAGTGGGGCACGCCTGTGAGTACGCGTGAGATTGTCTTCCATTCAATTCACAATCAGATTGGTTTATTAATACAATTATCATCATAATTTGGAATATCAATGTTTATTTGTTAGTTTTGTTGTCATTTCAGTCACTTTGCCTGCCAACATTACTTGCATTTAGTTTCATGTAAAAAACTAGAAGTTTTGATTACATTAGATGTAAGAATCCAATAAGAATCTGCCGCTAAGAATCGTTTTTACAACCAAGTACACATTTTACTGTTGAGTTAAACAGAGGCTACAGTTAAGGATTTGCGCCCAGTAAATCCCCTTTTATATTATTTATATTTAAATTATTTATATTCCTGTTCATTCTTTCATGTGGTTGATGAATAATACTAATGGTTGTACATAACTTATTCATTGCAGAGCCAGAATGCTAAAAGTGTGTTTACATAAGCGAGTGATCAAGCCTTTATCACTCTCAGTTTAAGACCAATATTTTATGAAAATGCCTTTGGTTTCTGCCCACTTAACGTATGTTTACTCTTGTTATAAAATATTGATGAAGATGGGAAATATGATATAAATTGTTTCTGATATATTTACACCACTTCCAGGATAGTAGTAAATCTTGATTTGATCAACAAAATCTTCCCCTCACGTATTCTAAGGCGGACTATCGTGTTAGAGGTTAGAGAACAGTTTTGTAGCACTGTACATAATAAGGAATAAATAAGTTTAGAACTGATCAGAATTTTAATGCTGGACTTTCATGTAAGACAATAGGCTGTAACAGATGTAATTTATCGTAGCAGGCGAGAACTCAAGCTCTGCTGTGACAAATCAACGGGACGGAACTATCCGGAGAAAGCGCCAAGCCATTTCGACTATATATCACTGGGGAAGAGGGCAGGATAAGGATTTGGGATGGGATTTAAGGAATGGTGCCCAACCACTTGGATGGTCGGGGATTGAACGCCGACCTGCATGAAACGATACCGTCGCTCTACCGTCCAGCCCAAGTGGTTGGGTAATATAATAAGAGAGGGATCGACCGGTGGCGTGTGAGCCCGCAGAGGACGCTCCCTCACCTGTGCTGCTGCGGCTCCTTTTGAGAGTTGGTTTGTGACAAATCAAGCAGCAATATACTTTACACAACACAAAATCTAGAAATTTGACAGTGATCTTTTGCATCAATAATGTAGTCGCATAACCCGAGTCATCCTCATCTAACTCATCAATAACAATTGCAAATTCGTTATACAATGTTCTGGTAAACAGTGCTACACATAATAATATACTTGGCAACATAACATTCTCATTACTACACCCATAGTTAATAACTCATTGGTACATAATGTATTAGCATCATTACGTATGGGTGTAGAATATCCTTATTTACTATGTACGTAAGTTAATAAAAGACTTCGTGCAATCGTAAATAAACATTACCGAAAGTTTGACTTAAACAATAGAGACAATTGTGGCACTTGGAGAGTGCCACAATTCCGCGAATCTCTGCTTGCGCGTCTCTCTAGTCCACTTCCCACTCATCTCTGGCGATACAACTCACTTCCATTCCAATGTTACTCTCGTCATTAATGTCACACATTAATTAATGTCACACAATAATTAATGTCATTAATTAATGTGTGTGTGTGACATTTATGTCACACACACATCTTCTCTGCACTTCCCAGCAAATAATGTCAATAGTAGTTATAAGGTGTGTCTTCAAATACGTTTTTACCCATACTCAGACTATCAAGCTGGAGAACTAATATTTGTAATTATTTTTTTTCTGCGGATTAGGAAACGAGGATGCCTGAGTGGACGACTGATGTCATGAACTTAACAAGTGCGTGCGTATGGGGGAAAGCTAAAACAAATTTCCACATCCTACCATATGTGACTATAATGAGGTCTCTCGTGTGAAGACTTAACATAAAAGTGTATTACGCACCATACATTAGTTTTACATTAGTTAATGTTAAAACTTCCTGCTATGTACTAGTTATGATTGAGTGATCATCCCAAAACACACCACTTTACTTTTCTCTCCTCATACTCACAAACACCTAAACTAACATTGAACCTAGTATGTATATATATATATATATATATATATATATATATATATATATATATATATATATATATATATATATATATATTTGACTATTTTACAGGAACTTCTTTTCCACAGCTCATAAAACGGAGGAAAGGGTCCTGAAAGATATTGTTAATAGAAACGTTATCCCTACAGACAAAAATCAGAGGATACAACTGACGATTTACTATAAAACCAGAAAAACGGCCAGCCTACTCATAAGAAACTCTCCAGACACAAAGCAGAACGCTTTTAAAGAGACCAACGTCGTCTATGCCTATATATATCTATGCATATATATATCTATATATATATATGTCGTACCTAGTAGCCAGAACGCACTTCTCAGCCTACTATGCAAGGCCCGATTTGCCTAATAAGCCAAGTTTTCCTGAAATAATATATTTTTTCTAATTTTTTTCTTATGAAATGATAAAGCTACCCATTTCATTATGTATGAGGTCAATTTTTTTTATTGGAGTTAAAATTAACGTAGATATATGACCGAACCTAACCAACCCTACCTAACCTAACCTAACATATCTTTATAGGTTAGGTTAGGTTAGGTAGCAGAAAAAGTTAGGTTAGGTTAGGTAGGTTAGGTTGTCGAAAAACAATTCATGAAAACTTGGCTTATTAGGCAAATTGGGCCTTGCATAGTAGGCTGAGAAGTGCGTTCTGGCTACTAGGTACGACATATATATATATATATATATATATATATATATATATATATATATATATATATATATATATATATATATAAATATAAATATATATATATATATATATATATATATATATGTCGTACCTAGTAGCCAGAACGCACTTCTATGCCTACTCTTCAAGGCCCGATTTGCCTAATAAGCCAAGTTTTTATGAATTAATATATTTTCTCTAATTTTTTTCTTATGAAATGATAAAGCTACCCATTTCATTATGTATGATGTCATTTTTTTTATTGGAGTTAAAAATAACGTAGATATATGACCGAACCTAACCAACCCTACCTAACCTAACCTAACCTATCTTTATAGGTAAGGTTAGGTTAGGTAGCCGAAAAAGGTAGGTTAGGTTAGGTTAGGTAGGTTAGGTAGTCGAAAAACAATTAATTCATGAAAACTTGGCTTATTAGGCAAATCGGGCCTTGAATAGTAGGCATAGAAGTGCGTTCTGGCTATTAGGTACGACATATATATATATATATATATATATATATATATATATATATATATATATATATATATATATATATATATATATATATATATATATATATATATATTATATTTATATTTAACGAAAATCAAGAATGAAATGGGAAAGTAAGAAGAACGTTTCAGCAGATCAAGGCCGTTGTCAACACTTGACTAAGAGAAACAAAGGAAGGGTGAAGGCAACTAGAACCTCAGCACCCATCCTCAGGAAAAGAATTACCCAGAAACAGGTATTGATTAGCTTAAAATGGTCAGAAGGATTAAGCGGTCTATAAGTATTCATAAGTATTCTCATAAGAGAATACCTATGAAAGATTAAAGAAAAGGCCTCATTGAATATACACATATTATTGTAATGAGACATTGTAACCCTCTTTATCAGAGTTATTTCTTTAACTGTTGTGTAACATTGTAACTTAAAACTGGGTCAAGTTTGTACATACCAGTACTAACATTGATAAGATTTGGACACTGATTAGGACAGACTCAATCAAATTTCGTTCCACAAAGCCATTGCTATTGGTAATGCTTTTCGCCCTATCCCAACTAATAGTGTTTTAACACAAACTCGTGGGTAGATACAATGCACTAGACGTTTAGGCAGTTCTAATACTATAAGCATGTTGGGACAAACTCAATTGTAAGGATTTTCCTGTTGTCTAAGGTACTCATACTCACAATCATTGCAGGGAATCGAATACACACAACCTGCTGTACCAGAGAAGTTTTTATTAAATTGGACTTGATCGTATTATTAGTGAACACCAAATTGATATTAAGGTTTTTAAAAACTGGGGAAAGTTTTTTCAAGTCCCACCGCATAAGGTAGCAGAAATGAGTTTCTGATTTCTGATTTCGCTTTGTGGACATGATAATAAAACGATTGATTATAAAGTATGTTCTTGCTTCTACTGTTTCTATGTTCGTTTGGGTTTTGAGGTGGATAGAATGTAATTGCATCTTAATTGGCTGTTGTTTTCTGGTTTGGACTTTTTGATGTGTAGGGCCTCGCTGATGTCGAGTCTCCTGTTGTAGTTGTACCTGTCGAAAATTTCTGTGTTGCTTGTTAAGATTTTTCTGGTGATGGTCTTGTTGTGTGAGGAGATTATATGCTCCTTGATGGAGCCTTGATGACGTTATATCTAGACAAAGTGAGTTGGCCCAGAAAGTGGAGTTGGAAATCTTAGTGGACGACATATTCAACCTGGAGACACAAAAGGTGGTTAACCCTAAGGGCACCTTGCAAGCGGAACTTATTGCGGAGGGAGGAAACATTCGAGGTAATTACAGAAGCACCATACTGTCCCCCGAGTTAAAAGCGGCAGCTAAGAGCCTTCGTGAGAATAGGGAGATAGTCGTCAGGAGAGGTGACAAGTCGCCAATATACGTTATTCTTAAAAATATCTGGGAAAAATTAACCTCATCCTCTCTGACCAAACTAAATTCCAAAGGGTCACTAGGGACACTACAGCAAAACTGAAAACGAAGGTAAACAGATTGATTGAAACTGTGAACGCACAAAATCTGAACTCCACCTGTGAAAGGTTACCCAGGGAATACAAACCTGGTTATGCATATGGGAATGCCAAGACCCACAAACCTAGAAACCCACTTCAGCCAATCATCAGCCAGATATCCACATCCACATACAGACTGGCCAAGCGACTCGACTGCCTGATGACTCCTTATGTGCCTTGTGCTTTTAGCCTGAAGTCTCCAAACGAAATTGTTGACAAATTGCAGGGAGCACGGGCCACGGGTCACGGGTCGCGGGTCACGGGTCACGGGGATGAGAGCCTCTCTGGATGTGGAGTCGCTGTTTACCAACGTGCCTGTTGACGAAACAACCAGGATGATGGTGGAGGGTATTGTGATTTGGCTTGTACCCCTCTAGACATACCAGAGAGCATATTGAGGAAGCTACTCGAAGCTTGCACTAAAGAGGCTCCCTTCTTGAGTCCCGATGGGCACATGTATAAACAAGTGGATGGGGTCGCCATGGGTTCTCCCCCTAGGTGTCCTGTTTGCGAATTTTTACATGGGTACCATAGAGTAAAGGGTCTTAGTGGACATGAACTTAAAACCGGCCATATACTGCAGGCATGTTGACGACATATTTATGCAGGTACCTGATGGCGGACGTTTGCAGCAGTTGAAGAAGGCAATCGAGCAAAATTCGGTGTTAAGTTTCACTTACGAGATGGAGAGTGATGGGAAGCTGCTCTTTCCAGATGTAACTGTCGCAGAAAGGAATGGTGGCTTCCACACTGCAGTCTATGCTAAGGAAACGAACACTGGAATGTGCCTTAATGGTAACAGTGACTACCTAGATAGGTACTCACCTAATTGTGCTTGCGGAGGGTTGAGCTTTGTCTATTTGGTCCCGCCTCTCAACTGTCAATCAATTGGCGTACAGATTCCTGAGCCTACTGGCCTCTCATATCTACATTTTTAACTGAGTATAGAGTCAGCCTCCACCACATCACTGCCTAGTGCATTCCATTTATTAACTACTCTGACACTGAAAAAATTCTTTCTAACGTCTCTGTGGCTCATCTGGGTACTAAGTTTCCACCTGTGTCCCCTTGTTCGTGTCCCACCCGTGCTGAAGAGACTGTCTTTTTCCACCCTGTCATTTCCCCTGAGAATTTTGTAGGTGGTTATCATGTCTCCCCTTACTCCTCTGTTTTCCAGGGACGTCAGGTTCAGCTCCTTTAGCCTTTTCTCGTGGCTCATACCTCTCAGTTCCAGGGCGAGCCTGGTGGCATACCGCTGAATCTTCTCAAACTTTGTCTTGTGTTTAACAAGGTATGGACTCCAGGCTGGAGCTGCATATTCCAGGATTGGTCTGACATAAGTGGAATGCATAGCCCTGAACGATTCCTTACACACGTTTCTAAAGGCCGTTCTTATGTTGGTCAGTCTAGCATATGCCGCTGATGA